CCGTGCCGTGCCGTGCCGTGCCGTGCCGTGCCGTGCCGTGCCGTGCCCTCGGTGTCAACGCTCCCGGTTGCTGCGGGAGGTGCGAGGCTGAGGGAGGAAAGGGTCTTGGAGCGTGCGGAAGGCGTGGAACGAGGAGAGAACGGGAAGTGTTTGAGAGGGAGACTGCGTCGTGTTACCTGGTGCCGAATTCGGCTCAGATGGGGTCCGTACTGCGCTCGCACCGCTCCTTGTGCGGCTTATCCTGTGTTCCTACTACAGACCTTCCTATAACATGCAGCTTAGACCGTGGGTTAGAATAGCTTAAAGACGTATCTGTCACAATCAGACCAGGTAGAAGATGCAACATTTCAGCAAACTCCTCGCCCCTGCTCCAGCTAGCCAGTTGGCTATGGTCTTTAGTGGTGTATCTGCTGTGGCATAGCTTTATCTACGAGCCACCCTCCCTTCAGATCTGCCAGCTGTGTTATGGACCTATCCACAGCCTCACGTGTTCAAGGTCTACCTACTCAAGTGCGGATTTACTAATGGGCCACAGCTTTGTACCTGCTGCAGCATGGACTTATCCATAACCGCTGTTTTGAGGTGTTCCTGCCCTGGCACAACATTTTTAAATGGCCACAGTGTTTTTAGGTACTTGCTGTGTTGCAGTCTCATCCCCGGCCACAGATGCTTCAAGGTATTCTGGGCTGTACCTGCTACATTGCAGACTTTTCCATGGCCACAAATGCACCAGGGTTTATATTCTCCCGTGTGGGCTTATCCACAAGTCACTAGCTCAAGTTCTGTCTGGAGTTTCAGCCTGCCTAGTACAGCAGCACAGCAACAGCAGCAATGCTTTGGCTCTTTACCAGCCCAGGCACATGGCCATGGCTGTTACCAAAGTGATCCCAGGCATAGCAAAACAATATGCTAAGAAGTACAGCAAAGGAATACGGCAGAAGGCAGCCAGTAACAAGCTCTGAACTCTTAGATACAGTAAGGCAAGCAAGTCCTATGGCAAGCACAGGGGCCTACCAATTTGCAGCTAAACAGCCATAATATCTATATATTTGGTGTAGCACACTCCATGCTCCTAACAAATCTTGTCTTCTTCAACACTTTGTGCCACACGGTGGGCCCAAAAAGCACCTGTTGTGTTTAACAGCAAGCAGCCGAGCCCTGCACAGACATTCACTCACTCTCTGCATGTGGGATGGGGAAGAAAAATGAAAAGATAAAAGTGTAAGAACTCCTGGGTTAAGGACAGTTTACTGCTCAAAGCCACAAGAGCAAGCAAAGCAAAGAAAGGGATTTGATCACTACTTCCCATTGGTAGGCAGGTGTTCAGCTACTTCTAGGACAGCAGGGCTCATCATATGTAGTGGTTTCTTGGGAAGACGAATGCTATCAATCCAAACGTGCCCCTTTCTTCCTTCTTTACAAAGTGCATCATATGTTGTGATGGACCACATCCCTTTGGCCTTCTTGTGTCAGCTGTCCTGGCTCCATCCCCTCCCAGCTCCTTCTGCTGTCCCAGCTCCTCACTGGAAGGAAGGGCAGTGTAAGCAGAGACGTCCTTGACCGTATGAAACTGAAACATCTGTGTGTTATCACTGCTATTTTCATCAAAAATCCAAAACACCACGCCATACTAGCATCTCTAAAATTAACTCCATCTCAGCCAAAACCATGATGGGACAGAAATAGCAGTAACGGACTATAAGAGTGTAATTGTAAACTGCATGCCTGCTTATTTATTTATGTATTTGTTTATTTTTTATACCTACTGTTTCCAGAGCCAAACACTACAGATTCAGAAAACCACTATGTCAGAGTCATTCGGTTTTCTTCTGCTAGGAATGTTTTTCAGAAGATGAAACCTAAAGCAAAGTGACATGGCCATGTCTACTCAAGCAGTTAATTTTCTTTAAAATACCATTTGTTACGAGTGAGTTGTGACCCCGAGAGAGATGAGGCACCAATTTGCTCTCTTTTCAACGTTTTTCCTGTAATATTAGTTCTAATGCCTTTGGCACTGCTGTTTCAGAGTATGCTAGTCCATCCATATCTGCTTATAAAAGCAGCCAGTAACTAGCATGTTTAACATAATGACAGTCCCGAAGAGAGTAATGGAGCGAGTCTACCCATTTCTGAACGCATGAAAGAGAAGAACATGTCATACCAATGGTAAATTGCAGTGGACCAACTTAGCCACTATCTATAATGAAATAACTGTTTTTGCAGATGCTAGGAAAACTGTAGATGTCAGATAGTTTGACTTCAGCAACGCTTTTGATACAGTCTCCCGCAGTATTCTGGCTCCATAGTAGGACATGACTGCCTGGATGGGTGAAGACTTGGACGGTGAAATGTTGGCTGCACTGCTGGTCTCAAAGGTTATTGGTTAATAGGTGGCACTCTGTCTGAAAGCAAGTGACACATGAAGTTCTTCAGGGGTTTTCTGTTTAATACTTTCTTCGGGGTAACTGTGTAATACTTCTGACAATGACTTGGACAATTAAAAATAATTTACACTGTCAAGTTTGTGGACAGCACCAAACTAGCTGTATAGTCAATACTCTGGATGACAGGGCTGTCGTTAGGAGGTGCCTAGATGGGCAGTAGAAATAAAATTCAACAAAATCCTGCACCTGAAGCATACTCCCTGCACTGCAGGCAGAGGTCTGTCTGACTTACAGGATAGTAAGACTGTTGAAGTTACCTTTTGAGTTCTTATGAGACAACAGACTAAATGTGAGCCACAAATATGTCCTGGCAGTGATGAGAAACAACAGCATCTTGGAATATATTAGCAGGTCAGTACACAGGAAGTTGCAATTGCTTCTTCTTACTTGTCACTTGTTAGAACAAGTCTGGTACAGAACATCCATTTTTGGGTGCATCAATGTGAAAAAGTTATTGATAAACTTGAGCAAGCCCATCAGAGGCCACCAACATAGGAGAGAGTGGGAAGAACATGTCCGACCTGGAGAAGCTGAGGGAACCAGACTAGCTCTGCCTTGAGAAGAGAGAGCTTCAGTTAGACCTGCAATAGCATTGACAAGGGAGTTACATACAAAAAGCAGAGCTATAATCTCTAGTGAGATAAACATCAGGAGAATGAGAGACAATGGTCGTAAATTGAATCAGTGGAGATTCTGACGGTACAGAAAGTGAAACAGATCTCTCTGAGGACAGCTTAACTTTCAAAGAGGTTCCCCAGATAAACTTGAACCTCTTAGAAGGTTTTTGAAACAAAGCTGGGGAAAGCCCTACTTTAAGAAAAAAGTTTTACCTCTGGGTGTACTTCTCCACCTGAATGTTTCTATAATTCTCATTTTAATTGTCAAGCACAGAAATCAAAAATGTTCAGGCAAATTCAGGTTAACTGGAAAAAAAAAAAAAAAAAAAAAAAAAAAAGAGAGAGGAAAAAAAAAGAGTACTTCAATTGGCTAAGTCGTGCTGGGAGGACAGCAACTTTCTCAAACTGCCCAAGAGCAAAATTGTGTCTTAGAAGATGTGTGAATTCATTGACTTAGGTGACTAAACTTTGTCAATGAACTGTTGACTACTTTTTCTGTATTTACCCTTCACCTTGGCTGATATACATTTTGTATATGTATATAAAAATATATCTATAATCTCATATTTTGACATCTCTTTTACACCTTTTCCTCTTACATTATCAGGTTTCTTCTACACAGACGTCACTGAATATGTGTATCAAGAGTATAAAAACATTCCCCCTCCACCAACTTTTGCAAAGCTGGCATGCATTTAAAGTTTCCATTCTTGAAGATGCAAGAAAATTGGAATTTATTTTACAGACTTGTAGGACGTCATATTGCTTTAGGGAAATGCTTAGAAAATCTGAATGTGCTTCATTTAATAATACCAGAATTATACAGGTGCTGTTCTAGCATAAAGTCAGTCATGATATTTTGGAAATGCAATCATTATTTTTAAAAACTTTGAGAAGACACCATCAGCATTTCTCACTGAATTTGTAGAGTTTTCTGCCCCATAAGCCTCCTTTTCCCACTGACATTTGTTAACAATAAAGAGAAGGTGCACAGCATTTTTACAGCAGAGTCACTGGTTGAGGATGAAAGGGACCCCTGGAAATCACACTCAGAAGCCTCCCTGCTCATATAGAGTCAACTAGACTGAGTTATATTACTTCCTCTATTTATAACTAGATCAAACACTGTCATTTTGACAGTGCAGATTTTGGTGTGATTATCCTAATGTCTGAATGTCAGCATTATAGGTTGATTCTTACTCAAGAACCACTGAGAACTGTGTTCTGAACTTCACCTTTACCACAGGTAGATTCTGGCTTCAGAGATGAAATCTATTAATCCTCCCATTAAAAACCAGAGATTTAGTGGGTCAGTATAGGAAAACAAGCAGAGGAAGCGGGAAACCGACATGGCTTGGGAAAGACTTGCAGATCAAACTGAGGGATAAGAAGGACACATACAGAGAGTGAAAACAAGGATGCTTCACCTGGGAAGAATACAT